GCCACTCCCCGCTGTCCCAGTGCCACTCCCCGCTGTCCCAGTGCCACTCCCCACTGTCCCAGTGCCACTCCCCGCTGTCGCAGTGCCACTCCCCGGCCCAGCAGCGCCGCTCGCCCGCCCCGCAGTGCCCCTCGCCCGCCCCGCCGGGGCGCTCCCAGTGCCAATCCCCCGCCCTCCAACGCCGCTCGCCGGGCCCTCCCAGCCAGTCGCCGGCTCAGCAGCGCCGCTCGCCAGCCCCCGGCCCCTGCCAGTCCCCCGCGCAGCAGCGCCGGTCCCCGGTGCCCCCCTCCAGCCAGTCCCCGGCGCAGCAGCGCCGATCCCCGGCCCCGCCGCCTCCTCCCTGCCCGTCCCCGGCCTCGGCGTCCCCGCACCGGCTGCCCGGCGAGAGGATGGAGCTGGGCTACGCCAAACCCTCCAGCCGCCACATCAAGGCCGGCTTCCAGGGCCGCCGCAGCTACTCGGAGGTGACCAACGTGGCCCTGTACCAGCAGAGCCGCTCGCCGTGGCTGCAGCCCGAGGCCTCCACGCTGCCCAAGCACCGGCCCTACGGGGAGGTGTACCTGGGGGGCGCGGGGGCCCCGCTGAGCGCCCGCGAGCCCTTCGAGGAGCAGCACGTGCGCTTCGAGAAGCAGCAGTCGTCGGACGAGGAGGATTGGGCCCTGCCCAGCCCGCCCAGCCCCGAGGCCGGCGCCATCCGCTGCGCCTCCTTCTGCGCCGGGTTCCCCGCGCCCGACGCCGACGCCGTGCGCCGGACGGCAGCTGCCTACGCCCGGGCGGAACACGCCCAGTCCTGGCCCTCCATCAACGTGAGTGGGACCCCCCCACACCCCGCTCAGGGGGGGGTGGTGGGGGGCGAAAAATAAACCCACCCCACTTGTCTGGTGTATAGCGCCTCGGATTCCGTTTTCCTACCCGCCCTTGGGCCGGGCGCCTGGAATGTTCCAGGGAGGGGATGGGGGGGGAAGTGTGGCCATCCTTGGGGTCTCAGCACCACCCTGTGCCCCCACAGCTGCTGCTGGAGACCCCCCGCACCCTGGAGGGTGTTGTTGTGGGTTGGAGGACAGGAAGCATCAGCCCACCCCACAGGCAGGGTTTAGTGCCTCGGATTCCATGTTTCTCACCCACCTTGGTCCAGGAATGTCCCAGGGAGGGGATGGGGGGGGCGAAGTGTGGCCACTCTGGGGGTCTCAGCACCACCCTGTGCCCGCACAGCTACTGCTGGAGACCCCCCACACCCCGGAGGGTGTTGTTGTGGGTGGGAGGGCATCAGCCCACCCCCCAGGTAGGGTTTAGTGCCTCGGATTCCCTGTTTCTAACCCAGCTTGCTCCCAGCAGTGGGAATGTCCCAGGGAGGAGATGGGGGGGGATGTGGCCACCCTGGGGGGGTCTCAGCCCCACCCTGTGCCCCCACAGCTGCTGCTGGAGACGGTGGACTCTGAGGTGAGGAGCTGCCCCCTGTGCCAGCTGGCCTTCCCCATCGGGTACCCGGACGATGCCCTGGTGAAGCACATCGACTCCCACCTGGAGAACAGCAAGATCTGAGCCTTCCCCCCGCCCATTCCCGACCTTTGGATGCTGCATGAAAACACACCAGGAGCGCCACGGCTCCCGAAATACCTCCAAGTCTTCAGTAGCTACAGAAAGACTGAGCCCCCCACACACACACCCCGGAGCCCCCCGAGCCCCCCCAGCCCCCTGCAAGTGGGTTCCTCGCCCTGTCCCTGCGTCCATGCCAGGTTTGGATGCTGGAATTGGGGTGCCAGGATCATGCCACCCCAGGTGGTGGCCGGAGGGGACTTGTCTGTGCCCTTGGGTGTCCTCTGCACCCTTGGGTGTCGCTGTTTGATCTCAGGGAGGATCCGAGGGGTTGGGTCCTGGATCCGGCCCCCAGAAGAGGGTGAGGGGAAGGGGCTGCCCCTTCCCCTGCTCCTGGGGTCAGAGTTGGGGTTGGGGGGGGGGGCAGCTTTTTCTCCGTTCCCCCCTCCCCCCCCCCCCCGTTCCAGCATCTTTTGCCCCAAAGACCCCCCCTCCCCTCAGGGTCTCCCCCTGCCCCCAAAGATGCTGCTGAGAAACGGACCCCAAGGCACAGCAAGGACCCCTCCCCACATTGCACTGGGCTCCGTGGCCCTGGGGGCTCTCCCTGACACCCCCCCCCCCGCGTGGGGACAGCGCAGCCCCCCAGCAGCCCCCCTCCATCCCCCCCAGACCCCCCTGCTTTGGCCGGGGGGCTGCAGGCGGCCGCTCACCCTGAGCCCCCCACCCCGTCCCCCCACGTTCAATCTACCTCAAGGCCGCCGGGAGAGGGGGGTCCACAGCACTGTCCCCCCCTCACTGAGCCGCTCTGCGCTGCATGTCCCCCCCCGTGTCACAGCGCACACCCCTCCCCGCACCCCCGGGGGCTCGGCCGGGCGCGACCCCGCCCCTGCCCCGGGACCTCCCCCGGGCAGAGGGACCCGCCCCTGCTGCGACGCCACCGACCCCAATAAAACCTTTCCAGCGCCCAAAATGCCACGGGGGGGGCGAAGCCGTCTCCTCTCTTTGGGTCCCTGGGGAAGGGGAGGGGGGTCCAGGCTCCTGGTGGCCCCCCCGGGGCTGGGATGGGGCAGGGGGCGAGCCTGGGGCTGGCACAGGCAACTCTGACAGAGCCAACTTCTGTCACCGGGGTGGCTGAGGGGGGTGACAGGGTTTGGGGGTCCCATTGCCGTCATCCTGCACCCCTGTCCCCGTTCCTGGTGACACGTTTTGGGTTTACTGGGCTGGTGGGTGAGACAAAATGGGACCATTAGAAGCAAAACCAAAAACTCACCAGTGCCGTGGTGACAGAGGGGACACGGCCAAACCCCGGTGGGTGGGTCCCCGGGGCTTGGGGGTCCCCCAGGGCTTGGAGGTCCTGTGGGATCCACCCGGATATCCTGGAGGAAGGATCTTCCCTATGCAGGGAGACCCTTCCTCCCTCCCCCCATGGGTACCACGGCTGGGGTAGCACCACTAAGATCCACTTCCCTGTGTTATTGTAGGTTCTACACGGGCTGAGGGTCTGGGGCTGCCCTGTGGGACCCCCGGGGTGATTTTTACACTCCATGGTGGCTGAGGGCCCACGACCCCCGGGGCTGAAACGCCCCCAAACTCGGCTGCTCGTGGAAAATCCCATCCGCTGGCTCCGGCAGGGAACACCCGTGTGATGAGTTGTGGTCGTTCGCCGGCCGCCCTGCCCGGGCAGGTTGCGGGACGCGGGGGAGGGAGGGGGTCTGTCCGGGCCCCCTGAGCCCAGCCCAGCCCCGGGCAGGGTGCGAAGCCGGTTCCCAGTGCTGCGGGGCGATGGTGTGAAGGAGATAGGCTCCGTGCCGCCGCCTTATCGCCCGCTCATCTCCGCCCCTGCCAGGGGAGGGGGGGGACGGGCAGGATCCAACCCCCCGGGGGCCCCCGGGGGGGGCCAGGTTGACCCCCGGGGGGACGTGATACTGCAGGGAAGGGTCCCAAAAATCACCGCACGGGGACAGATCCCGATCCGCACCCGGGGTGGCATCAGCTCTGGTCGGGCTCCCTCTCTGCCCGTCCTGCAGCCGGGTCGGGGGCGGAGGAGGGGCCTGGCTGCGCTCAGGGGGTGCCCGGCCCCCACCCCCTCCCGCCACCCGCTCTCCCCCCCCCCATTTTTCTCTCTTTTTTTTGAAATCACGTGATAAATGTCAAACGGCGGGGCCGTTTTACTCATCCCGGCACCCTCCCGGCGCCGCTTCCCCCCGGGGGCGGCTGCCGCTGACTCAGGAGGCTGCCGGGCTCCCCCCGGGCCCCGGGGACCCCCCTGGCCCCCCCGAAACCACCGTCCCTTCTCCGGCTCCCGGGCCGGGCGGGAGGAGCTCCGGGACATGTGTCACCCGGTGCAGACGTGTCCCCGTGGCGCTCGCGTGATTTTGGGGGGTCCCAGCACCCCAAATCCACTGCCTGGGGGCTGCCCTGCTCCTTGTCACGGTGCTGGGAGGGGTCGGGGTGCTGGTGGTGCCCCGGGATGCTCGTGGTGGGCACGAGGTTCGGTGCCCGTCTCTGTGCCTTGCTGAGCACCCTGTGAGCAGGATGAGGGCACCTCACCCCCCCTGCACCCCCTCTGTGCCCCTCCCCAACCCTGCGGGCCTCCTTACCCCGTGGGGAAACTCTGAGCCCTCCCCACTGCCGGTGGGACCGATCCCCAGCGCTGCCCCCTTCCCACCCCACTGCAGCTCCACTGCCCGCTGTGGAGGGAAATGGGGTGTCCTGGGAGGGGGATTGTGGCCCCATTTCCTCTGCCCCCACCCCCGGTGCTGCACCTCGCCCGGGGGAGCTGCCAACCTCAGCGCTGGGCTGCGGCTTTGGTGGCATCCTCACCCCCTGGAGTGACAGGGCTGTCACACAGGACACCCACCCAGGGCTGGACCAGGGAGCTCCTCACCCTGGGGGGGCCCGACCACCACCATGCCCCCCCAGTGCTGCAATCCCAACCTCCAAACCCACCCCACAGCCCCCCCAACCTCCAAACCCACCCCACAGCCCCCCCCTCCCCGTCTCAGCTGCCTTGCCCCGAGGGTCTGGAGAGGGGGGACAGGGTGACTGGGAGAACCCCCCCACTGGCACTTCACACCCCAATTCCCGCAGGAGAAGCTGGAGACTGGGATGGGGGCCATGCCAGGGGGTCTGGTGGGAGCATCCCACTAGCAGGACACAAACTGGGGCTCGGGGGCTCCTGGTTGGGGTCACAGGTCTGGCCTGACCCACCAGGTGCCCGGTGTGGCCTGGCTGTGCCAACTCAGGGGACAAGGGACGAGCCAGTCTCACCTCAAGCGTCACAGGGCTGTGCTGAGGGGGGCTTCTTGCAGTGGCAGAGACTGGGTTCTGTCTCCTCTGACCTGTCCTGAGGGCAGGGAGAGCATCCCTGCGGGAATTGTGCCCCCTGAGCGCCAGGGATGTCACAGCACCTGCATGGGGCACTGTCCCCTGGAGCCACCCGTGTGAGTGCAGCCCCCTCCCC